TTGCATAAAACATGCAAGTCGCGTTTGGAGAAATACCACTGTTAAGTTGATTGGAGTCCTCAATCCCGTTGCTTCAAAACGCATTTTCCAGAATCTGTTGCAGCACCAACCCCAGCCGAAAACCTCAGTTGATATCTCACAAAATTTTAATTTGTATTGTCTGAAAATTGGGAAAGCCCCAAGCCCACTGAGTTGTCATGATTGTCCAAATCTGGCCATAACTTGGGTATCTCAACTTCGTGGACACAAGCCACATCCGATTTATTCATTGGATACATTCACTTTTTTTAAAGTATCCATTTGTGATGTTTGGATCAAAATGTTTGATGCTTAAAACCTGAAGCAATTCCCAACTGGAGATGGTCTTATCATACCGTGGATGTCCAATATTTACGCTTTTGTGTAATGTCGATGTTTACGTTTACTCATCAATGTTGATGTTTACCCTTGAGACATGTGGCGCAGCAAATTTCGCAATTTCTTCGTACTGCTGCCGAATCTTGATCTTGGACATGTTTCATTAGTCAAATTCATGCGATATCACTTTGAATCACACTTGACACAAATTGTCCCAAAGCATTTCGTTTTGTTTTCACCCAACGACGCATGTGTTTGATTGACGGCGGGTTCAGTCTTGGAAACAAAAGACACCATGGGAGAGGTGTCGGAAAAAATTCCAGTCAAGGAATTTGGGTGAACAAAATTCTGGGATGGGGTGGCCCTTTTCCTCGGGTAAACATCGCATTTCACGGGTAGACACAGCATTTCACGGGTAAACACCGCGCATTTCACGCAAACTTCACGGGTACTTCACGTTGTTTTCACGCCAAGGATTTTCTGGGTTTGTCTGGTCTTCCGGTGGCAACACTGAGTTCCGATTTCTTTGGACACTAAATCATATCAATCTGTAGTGCAATAAATATGCGCTTCTGGCAGTGGCAAGTTTACAACAACGTTTCAGGTCCCATGTTTTGCCAGTAGACTCAGACACAAAATACGCAAATACTTGCCAATATGGTTCCTTGGTGTGCTTTCCGTCCGAAAATTCAATACTTGAAGGTTTCAGGTTCAGTTCCGAGGGCCTTTACACGTATGTGGGAAGTCGGAATGATTCATATATGTACAATGGCATGTTTTAAACATCAACATTGAGAATGTCGATGTGTAACGAATACAAACATCAACATTGTCTGCGAAGGAGGTGAGCGTCCACATTGACGCACAGGGATAGTTATCCCATGTTATCCCAAGAAATCGCAATGTGATCCCATCCTTGTCCCAAGAAACCCAAAGTTTCTCATATGTATAATCCCAATGGCGTGCTTTTAAGATCCCATAATCTTGGTTTGTTCGTCCCATTAAATCCCAATAAATTCCCATGAAATCATCAAAATCCCATACAAGGCGAGGCCCCGAAACGATGTATAGCCAAATTGAGGCACATAACTTGGTTAACAAGGGTTTTTAACAAACCAGTCATCGGGTCTATAAACTAACAAACATCACTGGAGAGCCTTGCCTTGTAATTATATTCCATTCGAAAAAACACTATAGTTCATTTTCAATTCATTGTTATTTACCGCATGATCAGTAAATCCCATGAAATCGCCATGAAAAGCCCTTAAGTCCTGACTTTTCCGCGTTTTCTCGGCCATTTTCTCGGCAGGCCTTGGGCGTGAAGGTTACTTGCAACAAAGGGTGCACCGCAGGCCGCGGAAAGCCCATGGGGATGCCAGCTGGACAAGGGAAAAAGAACGGAATTGTTAGGATTAATTGGTCACTGGTTAGGATTTAAAATGATGATTTTCCAGTTCGCTATGTTAATTTACCAGAGGGGATGTTAGTGGGATATTAGTAAGAAAATTATGGGACAAATACTGGTTGGTGCTTTGGAACCATGGAATTTCATGACTTTCCATATATTGGGAATAATCACCCCAACTGACGAACTCATATTTTTCAGAGGGGTTGAAACGACCAACCAGATCAATATATGGGATGTCACGTGATTTGATGGACATATTTCACCAACGATATTCAACATAGGGTTTTGACCCAGATACTGGATGTGAATGATATATTTACTGGATCAGCCTTGCATTAGTGGAGGTGAACTATGGGATTTCATGGCATTTACCAGCCGATATGGGATTTAATGGGATACAAAGGATGCACTGATATCATTAAGATTATGTAGTTTGTGTTTTTCTGGAAATGTGGTATACCCCCAACTTACAACAGTTTTACTGAGCAAAATGATGATTAACCGGTAGATTTGGGGGTGCCAAGTTTTCAGACAATCTCATTTAATGGAATTTGACTACTACCATGTTGTTCTTACAGCAACAAGAAATGCCAGTGGGGTCTCAGGTTCTTGTGGGTCACAACCGAAAATTGAAGGAGAAAGACGAATTTTTGAGTCCGAAGACGAATTTTTGAGTCCTTATTAAACCTTATTAGAGCTTTTCCTCCCTGCATCAAATGTGATGATTTGCTGGCGAAATCGTTTTCAAGCTACAACAACTGCAATGCTTTCGAATATGGTGGTTTCTGTCTTCCGGGTCATGGATGGATAGTTTGGTACTTTCATCTTGTGCCAAAAACGGTGCTGTGTATGCATGCATATGTATGTGTGTATATCTATCTATCTATCTATCTATCTGTCTGTCTGTCTGTCTGTCTGTCTATCTATCTGTCTGTCTGTCTGTCTATCTGTCTATCTATCTGTCTGTCTGTCTATCTGTCTGTCTGTGAATCTGCCTATCTATCTATCTATCCATCCATCCATCCATCCATCCATCTATCCATCTATCCATCTATCCATCTATCTATCTATCAGTCTATCTTATCTATCCTATCCGTCCTTTCTTTCATTTCTATCCTATCTATCCTATCTATCGTATCTTTCCTAATTTTCCTATCTATCCTATCTTCCCTATCTACCCTATCTATCCTATCTATATTTCTATCTATCTGTCTGTCTGCCTGTCTATCTACCTATCGATCTTTCTTTCTTATCCATCTTATCTATCTGTCTATCTGTCTGTCTGCCTGTCTTGCTATCTATCCATCTATCTATCTATCTATCTAGCTAGCTATCTATCTATCTTGTATTTCAGCAATCAGTTTACTGAAACAAGTCAAGTCGTAGAGTATTTCGCACCTCTTCAAAATTTGAGTATCATCATGATTAATAGTAATGTATTTTAAAAAACACCATAAAACACTGTAAGATCCGGGGATTTAATGGGATACAAAGGATGCACTGACATCATTAGGAATATGTAGTTTGTGTTTGTCTGGAAATGTGGTATACCCCCAACTTACAACAGTTTTACTGAGCAAAACGTTCAGTTCACGATCAGCAACGTGGCTTACTCTGAGCCTGGCTCTCCGTTTCCGGACTGCAGAGAGGGATAAACTGACCGCCTGTCTGACTCAGTGTTGCTCCCGGGTATCGAGCCCAGGACCGGTCGGAAGAGGGACGCCGCCATAACCACTGAGCCTCTACCGGACCCCTTTTACTGAGCAAAATGATGATTAACCGGTAGAGTTTGGGGTGCCAAGTTTTCAGACAATCTCATTTAATGGAATTTGACTACTACCATGTTGTTCTTACAGCAACAAGAAATGCCAGTGGGGTCTCAGGTTCTTGTGGGTCACAACCGAAAATTGAAGGAGAAAGACGAATTTTTGAGTCCGAAGACGAATTTTTGAGTCCTTATTAAACCTTATTAGAGCTTTTCCTCCTTGCATCAAATGTGATGACTTGCTGGGCGAAATCGTTTTCAAGCTACAACAACTGCATGCAATGCTTTCGAATATGGTGATTTCTGTCTTCTGGGTCAACCTTGGATGGATAGTTTGGTACTTTCATCTTGTGCCAAAAACGACGCTGTGTATGCATGCATATGTATGTGTGTATATCTATCTATCTGTCTGTCTGTCTATCTATCTGTCTGTCTGTCTGTCTATCTGTCTATCTGTCTATCTGTCTATTTGTTTATCTATCTATCTGTCTGTCTGTCTGTTTGTCTGTCTGTCTGTTTGTCTGTCTGTCTATCTATCTATCTGTCTGTCTGTCGGTCTATCTGTCTATCTGTTTATCTGTCTACCTATCTATCTATCTATCTATCTATCCATCTATCTATCTATCTACCTTATCTATCCTATCCATCCTTTCTATCAGTTCTATCCTATCTATCCTGTCTATCCTATCTATATTTCTATCCTATCTATATTTCTATCTAACTGTCTGTCTGTCTGCCTGTCTATCTATCGATCTTTCTTTCTTATCTATCTTATCTATCTATCTATCTATCTGTCTGTCTGTCTCTCTGTCTGTCTATCTATCTATCTATCTATCTATCTATCTATCTATCTATCTGTGTGTGTGTGCGTATGCGTACATACATACAAGTTGTTTCAATGGTCCCATCCAAGATTGGTTGCTCAGGAACGGTTGCTGTTTTTTAATGGGACGAGTTACTACGGACAGGCATTGGCCCCATTGACCACGCTTTCAAAAGATCAACCTCGGGCGAAAGTTTGAATCATGCGCCATGCACTTGGAGAAGCAGCACTTTGCGATTGCAATTAAGTTCCAGCCCCTACTCATACCCCACTGGTTGGTGGTTTGGAACATTTGGATTATTTTTCCATATATTGGGAAGAATCGTCCCAACTGACGAACTCATATTTTTCAGAGGGGTTGAAACCACCAACTAGCCCAAAATGAAGAGGATCCAACACTAACCTGGCGTTTCCAACGGGGGGTTGAAGATTTGGGGCCAACAATGGGGAGTCCACCCTTGGCTGGCTCAAAATCGTTGAGTTCGCTGGCTGGATAGCAGATGTTCAATATCAAAGCCACCAGAAAGGCGCCATGAATTGGATATCTTCACTTTTTTTGGAGCCAGGAGCCATGGAAAGTCATGAATCATGAATCTGTAACCCAATTCAGCAAATCCAAGTTCTTCCAGAGCATTTTCCAAACGTCTATGCCTCGTGCCGCTCGGCTCGCGATCGAAAGTTGCAGCGCAGTTCGCAGCTCCCGCAACAAGGCGTGGTTGCGAAGCTGGAAGGTCATGTCATCCTGGGATTGACAAAGCCATGGTTGCTTTTCACAGTGTGTTGGAAATATTCAATGAGTGTTCATGGAAGAATATGAATGGAATATTACCTCTTCAATAAGCCCTATTGTTAACAATAGTTGCTTTCTCACAATTTAGCCAGATACATACATGCATGCATACATGCGCACATGCGTGCATGCGTACATGCATATTTATATTTATATTTATTTACATATATATATATGTGTGTATGTATACATACACTTATTTGTTTCTTTCTTAGCATCTCCGTTCGGTACAGGTTGGGCGTTCAGAACGCGCGTTTTAAAAACTCGCGTTCCAGAACGCGCGTTCTGAGTGAATCCTTTTTTCCAATGATATAAAGTTTTTTCCGGGGTTTGAACAGAGAAACCTTTTTTCCCCAAAAAAAAGGATGTGGAGCTCTTGTGGGCTCAAAATGGTGATATTAGAATGGGGCGTAGGGATATCTTTCGATTGATAATTGACTGGATAAAGTGGATAAGTGGATAAAAGAGTTACTGGGAAGGGGATATATGATATATTATAATGATTTTTCTAGGGTTTGATGTTGCTTTGTGTTGCTGGGAAGAACCGTTCGGACAAAAAGCCTTGGGTTGGGCAGGCCTAAGCCGGAATCCTTTTTTGAGGGGCTTTAAAAAGCGCTGGTCAGGCCAAAGACGGATCCTTTTTTTGCCTGGTTTAAATAGAATTGCGCAGGCCATGTGATAGAGTGGATCCTTTTTGCAGGGAGCAAAAAAAGGATTCGGAGGCTTCCGAGATCCATAAAACCACTAAAAACACCCCTGCGTTCGGAACACGCGTTCTGGAACGTACGTTTTGCGTTCTGCATTTTGGTCGTGCTAAGGTTTGTTTTTTATTTTTACATACCCTAGGGGGTGTTCCCCGCTTGGGTGGGGCGGGGTGTGGTGGGCGGAGTGTAATAACGTTCTGTTCTTTTCCGCGTTGACTTTTTCACGGAACTTGCAACACGTGGGGTGGGGTTGGGTCCGGTGGGGTGGGAGGGGTGCAAAAACGTTCTTTGTCTTGTGTGTTGATACAATCACTTCGGGCTACTCTCCTACCTTTTCTGAAGCAACTTGCAACACGTGGGGTGGGCTGGGGTGGTGCAATAACGTGCTGCATTCTTGCGTGTTGGTGCAATCACTTGGTGCTAAGCTCTTAACTTTTTCACACAACTTCACACACACTCTTGGATGTTACGTTCTTAACTTTAACCTCTTCAAGCAACTTCCAACACGCTCTTGGATGCTACTGTCTTACTTTCCCTAGCAACTTCCAACACGCTCTTGGATCCTATGCTCTTGGTTTTAACGCGCTGTTAAATGCTACGTCCCGTACTTTCTCAATCAACTTGCAACACGGTCTTCATGCTACGTTCTGAACTTTCTCAATGAACTTCCAACACGCTCTTGGATGCTACGCTCTTGGTTTTAACACGTTGTTAAATGCTACGTCCCGTACTTTCTCAATCAACTTGCAACACGGTCTTCATGCTACGTTCTGAACCAATCAACTTCCGACACGCTCTTGGATGCTACGCTCTTGGTTTTAACACGTTGTTAAATGCTACGTCCCGTACTTTCTCAATCAACTTGCAACACGGTCTTCATGCTACGTTCTGAACCAATCAACTTCCGACACGCTCTTGGATGCTACGCTCTTGGTTTTAACACGCTCTTAGATGCTACGTCCCGTACTTTCTCAATCAACTTGCAACACGGTCTTCATGCTACGCTCTGAACTTTCTCAATGAACTTCCAACACGCTCTTGGATTCTACGCTCTTGGTTTTAATACGTTGTTAAATGCTACGTCCCGTACTTTCTCAATCAACTTGCAACACGGTCTTCATGCTACGTTCTGAACTTTCTCAATGAACTTCCAACACGCTCTTGGATGGCTCGTGGTTTTAACACGCTCTTAGATGCTACGTCCTGTACTTTCTCAATCAACTTGCAGCACGGTCTTCATGCTACGTTCTGAACTTTCTCAATGAACTTCCAACACGCTCTTGGATGCTACGCTCTTGGTTTTAATACGTTGTTAAATGCTACGTCCCGTACTTTCTCAATCAACTTGCAACACGGTCTTCATGCTACGTTCTGAACTTTCTCAATGAACTTCCAACACGCTCTTGGATGGCTCGTGGTTTTAACACGCTCTTAGATGCTACGTCCTGTACTTTCTCAATCAACTTGCACACGGTCTTCATGCTACGTTCTGAACTTTCTCAATGAACTTCCAACACGCTCTTGGATGCTACGCTCTTGGTTTTAATACGTTGTTAAATGCTACGTCCCGTACTTTCTCAATCAACTTGCAACACGGTCTTCATGCTACGTTCTGAACTTTCTCAATGAACTTCCAACACGCTCTTGGATGGCTCGTGGTTTTAACACGCTCTTAGATGCTACGCCCTGTACTTTCTCAATCAACTTGCAGCACGGTCTTCATGCTACGTTCTGAACTTTCTCAATGAACTTCCAACACGCTCTTGGATGCTACGCTCTTTGTTTTAACACGCTCTTAGATGCTACGCCCCGTACTTTCTCAATCAACTTGCGACACGGTCTTCATGCTACGTTCTGAACTGTTTCAATCAACTTCCAACACGGTCTTGCATACTAAGTCTCTTTGTAATAGCAACTTCCAACGCGCAGTGAACTTGCAACGCGCTCTTGATGCTACGATCTTATCTTTCACTCACTCACCACAGTTGTCACGAAAGGTGATGCGCAAAATGCACGGAAAATACCAATCAAAGATAACATGAAGCAAAAATACTTGCGGAAAGACGGTAATATCAAAGTTTTCTTGAATGAACATGTAATACCACAAACATCTGCTTGTACCACAAACATCTGTTTGTCCGAAAGATTCGGGGATCCTTCTTTTATAAGAAATTCTGAATATTATTTGCTGTTGCGTGGGCACTTGTTCTTCTCCAACGGATCAAAAGAATCGTCCGTAAAGACATGCACTTGATTCATCAAGATCAAAAGTGAACAATTTTCAGTGTTCTAAATCCAAAACAAAGTGTTTTCAAGAAAGAACTCATTTTGAATTTTGAACTATCTTTGCGGGGACACTAATCCCCCTAGGCACACACATATGTTCATATATACATATTATATATATATATACACATGTGGTACCACCCCACCAATCATGGATTTACAACCAGGTAAACAGTTCAGAACCCAGCCTCAGGCCGCAATGTTTTTTTTTCACATCCCCCTATTCCCTATATTGTATAAACCCTTGAACACCCTCAGAAACGATAGTTTCATAGGGTTTATTAGGGGTTTATTCACCACCCATAATCACTAATAAAGGTTATTGTTAATCATGTGTTGTTGGGGCTGTCACCATTCCGGGGGGGTGGTTGCGTTCCCATGACCACAGAAATGGGATGTTTAAGCTTAATGGGGGATGGGATTAGATTGAAATATGTCCAGCAAAAACTAAATTGAACTAAGAAAGGCGGCTAGTGACTTTTAAAATTTGTAATGGTCCATCTTAGCTCGTACGATAATCGACATGGTTTCACGTGGGGATGGGTGGCTCAACCACAAACCAGTTTCGGAGAGCGTTTTCATACCCTCCGCACTTGAATCACCATGTATACATAAACCAAACAGATGTTTGGGAAACAACCATGTATAAAGGAAGTGCGACCATAACGGGTTGGATGCCACATTCATTCCGAGATCCCGCCCGTGTTTTTGTCGTGCAGCCTACCATTGTGCAGGATGAGCTCACCGAAAAATAAAGGGAAAACCAAGACGCCCAAGAGCAAGTTGAAGGTGGACACTTCGCTTCGCGTGGGACCCCCAGTATGATATTTTTATCCATGACTGGATGACTGGGATATTTTCCTGTGATGACTTAGGAAAGCTCCATCTGGTTGAAAAAAGGGATGCTGTCTTCGCACAAAATGATGATTTGTTTGAATAAGAAAATGATGTTCCAAAGAAAAGGATTTGGGAGCCTTCCTTTGAATTTTCAGACAAAATGTTTGTTCGCAGCTGATGATGATAACTGAATAGAGAAACTTTGCTGTCTGGTTGCATCAGCAAAGTGTAATATTGAGCTGGATTGTTTCGGTTTTATGTTTCTTCCCGAAACTGGGATGAGGATGATGATACAGTGGTGCATGAACAGCGAAAAAACCGGAACATGAAGAGGAGAATTGACCGACGAAGAATATCAGTTTAGCTTGAATGAGATTCTGGAGCGTCTGAAGTTATCGTTCATTCAACCATGGGCTCTGTAACGTTTTTGGGCCGGAGTTTCTGCATCAATTGAGAATTCCGGATCTAGGTTTTGGATGGTTTTGGCTGGATAAATCCCAATTTTTCTAGTTTTTGGTTTGTTAAATCCCAATTTTTGTTGCTTTATTCTGCATTTTTGCTAAATCCCAATTCGGGCTGGGGTGGTCCAATCCATTCTGCTAGTCCAATGATCCAGGCATTTTTGCTAAATCCCAATTCATCCATTAGGGAACCCTTATTGGGGGGTATTCAATGTCAACGGGAGGGGATGAAAAATCCCAAGATACACATCAGAAATCAATGGAAATATTCAAACAGCTATATCCAAATACATGCTATCCTATCCCGTCAATGGATACGTGATCAGCAACTGGGGTATATCCCAATATATACCAGTTTTTTAGGGTTATCACCCATTTCCAAACCACTTCTAGAGCTAATTCCCGATGGTCACCCCAATCATTTTCAGAGTTTGTATCCCAATATATCCCAATATTAAGTATTCAATAACTTTTATATATATATATATTTGGGTCTGCCCCCGCCCACTAACAGTTCAAAACTGCCCCCCCTTCATAAACCACATACCAAAAAAGCACAATCATATTGGTGGTAAATCAGGCCATTTTAGGGGATCCTTGGGGTCTGCTTAGGAGAAAATGTGATCTAGGTGGGCCGTACAAGTAACAAAGGGTGGAGTAGTGAATGCAACAACATCACTACATTTGAGGTGGCATTGTTTGTGGTTAAACCATTTAAATCATTTTAACGAACATCCGGTTGTATTGCGCCATATTGTTGGAGCCATCAGGACATGTTTGCTGAACTTGTCATCAACTAGCCAAAATCAAAGTATCGATGTTGCTGTTGATCTCCTTTGATGGTTGGAAAGTTGGAATGGTTCTGGGATGTCTGACAGCTGGCATCACTTTGTTTATCTGAATATTCGATATGGTATGATGATGCAAGGTGTTGCCTCGATATGATGATACGATATTATGACTCATGACATTCTTTACAATATTGAATGCAGCATACCTGAGATACCGAGATACTGCAATCAAACGGTCCAACCATTGTAAGTTATCAGCGATAAGCGTTACAAAGGCGTGCCTCCAACAATAGTTGCTGAGGTTCTTAAAAAACATCATATGATAATTACATTTTTTCACATTCCCGCTCCTGGAATGGGTTCACTCCTGAGAGTTTTTTATGGAAAGGAGGTTGGGGAAAGGAAATGGTGTGAGACATTTGCTGGGCCGCTGGTCCGAAGGCTGTCGAGGGCAGGAGGCCTGAGATTCATTTTTTCCAAAGAAATGCTGATTTGTTTGTGCTTTTTTTTGTGCTTTTCCGGCGCTCCCGAGCACAAAAAAAAGCACAAAAAAAAACACAATTCATACCACAAAAAAATGCACAAAAAAAAACACAATTCATACCACAAAAAAAAGCACCAAAAAAAAACACAATTCATACCACAAAAAGAGCACAAAAACAAAAAACACAATTCATACCACACAAAAAACCACAATTCATACCACAAAAAAAGCACCCAAAAAAACACAATTCATACCACAAAAAAGCACAAAAAAAAAGTTGGTTTCCTTTTTTTCTGCTTCAGTTTCTGCTTTTTTCTGTTTTTTGCGTTTTTTCTGCTTTTGGAAAGTCGCTGCTTTTAAAGCATTATCCATTAGCCAGCCCGGCCCAGCTCCAGCCCCCCTCTCCCCCAGCGCTCCCCAGCCCCCAGGCTCAGCCCCCAGGCCTTGCCCAGGGTCAGTCCAGCAGCCCCGGCCTTTATATGTATTCTACACACACATTCTATTGTTTTGCTATGGGCGCTGCGATGGGCAACATCCTAAACCCTAACAGCATTACCATCGGCACTGTGGTGGGCAGCATCCTTAACCCTAAACAATATTGCTTTGCCATCAGCGCTGCAATGGGCAGCATCCGAAACCCTAAACAGTAATGCTTTGCCATCATCGCTGCAATGGGCAGCATCCAAAACCCTAAACAGTATTGCTTTGCAATCAGCAGCATCACTCCCCACAAGGTGCTGACAAGCTGGATGCATGAGGCATCCCATTGGAAATGCCAATGTCGAATTTTGACAGCAAGAACTTCTGGGCATGGCAAGAAAATGTGCCGACCGTGGAGCCAACTTGCAGGGAATATGACTGGTCATCTAGCCTTAATAAGGAGAAATGAAAGTCATATTGGGGACTACAACCTGATTTTTCTTGTGCTTTTTTTGTGGTGTGAATTGTGGTCACTGTTAGTGTCACGAGGCAGACCCAAATATATATATATGTATACATTTGTCCAATATTCCACATATATCGAAGTCCCATCAATGAAACCAGAAAATCAGCGAAGCCAGCTACTTAGACATCGGTGCACCAGATTGACGAAGCGACTCAAGAGGAGGTGAAAAGCTGTGAAAGAATTGGGCTGCTGGGGCTGATTTTTTATGGAAGACCATGTTCAACCCCCGGTTGATATAAATATCATACGGTTAAACTGAAAATCCTACGGTTGAAATCTCATTTTGGACTTTTAATGGCATTCAAGCAGTCAACAATGGGATATCACCAGATTTAATCAGTAAAAACATGTAAAAACTAGGAATTTAAGCAGTGAAGATTATGGTTTAAGCAGTGAAAATGAGGAATTGATCAGCAAATCTGGGATTTTGACCAGCAAAGATCAGGCTTTAGCAAGTAAAATCGGTGGTTGCGAGGGTTGCAACAATAAATTGGTCGCAAGGGCTTGGATCACACCATGAATGTGGATTGAACTTCACCCAGTTCTATGGGGAGTTCAGCGCCCAAGAATGCACGACTTTTCGGAAAGAAGGAGAAGGAATGAACAAATGCCATCCCAAAAATCAAACATGGCAATTGGAATGTCCCTATAAATCCAAGCTTTAGTGGGAAAATCATCTGTTGAAAACTAGGGGATGTTCCATTGCCATCTTTGATGAGCAGGGTGCTCATGAGTATAACTGGAACCTAAATATGGTAATGAAAAAATGATGTGTCAACTAATGACTGGTTCATCCCAACCCCATTGACGAAGTCCATCATTTTTCAAGATGGTTTAAACCACCAACCAGATGAGAATCATCGAATATTCATGATCATTACCTTCTGGCGATTTTAACATTGGAAAATCACCATCTTCATGGGTAAATCAATAAAATAAATGTGCCCTTTTTTGTGCGTTGAATTCCCGAATTGTAAATATATGCGGATGGGTCAAGGTACCTATGAAATTACCATATTTGGAGGTTCCCTAAAATGCGAGTACCCCCAAATCATCCATTTATAGGTGGTGTTTCCATATAAACCATCCATTTTAGGGTACCCCCGTTTATGTCTGTGCCTCAGAGACATGCAAAGGCCCATGTAAGATCGCATCGCGGAATTCCAAGTGTCACGTAGGCGAGCAGCTGAGCTTCAAATCGCCCAGAAAGAAAGAATTCATGGCAATTTGTTACATAACCATTGAAAATGGCACATTCATAGTTGATTTCCCTATTAAAGACAGTGATTTTCCATAGCTATGTTAGCTATGTTAGTTTACCAGAGGATAGTATATATCATATGAAATACCATATGACTGGGAGAACCAACATCCATCCCAGCTATGACTAAACGGGTACCATCTGGGGATCAGCTATCGACTGGTAGCCCTGCGGTGGGCATCCGTCTGAGCGCTTTGCGCGGTTGGCGAGCCGCGTTTCTTGTTCGAACATATGGCGCCAATGTAGTTCATATATTTCAAATAATTTATATAGTTTATATTTTTTACATAATTTATATAGTTCATATAGTTCACATCATTTTTATAGTTCGTACACATAAATCATAAATTCATATTAGCTCATCTTCTAGTGATAGCCAATGATTACTCATCACCCAAGTACCGGCAGGTAGCGGCCACATTGAGGCAACGGCGCCCGCGGCCACGGGAGGGGAATGGTCCACTTGGATGATTTGGAGTTACCCCCTTGACCAAACGGAAACCTCAGAAAGCTCCAAATTGGAAATGGTTTGGTACAGGGGACGGCAAAACAGGGGAGATTCTGGATTGCATTGAGTGATTGTGGCTGCCCAAAATCAGGACTCTTTCAAGCAGGAACTAAGCTGGCCATTGAAATCTGAGTTGACATCTCATAAGCCCCAGGGACGTTGGAAGCCCCTAACAGGCTCGGATTCCGATGGCAGTCAGGCTGCCGTAGATGCTTTATAGAGCTTGGAATAGAATTCGTGACTTGTGCAGATTCTTGGCCACTTGGTCAATGTCGAAATTCCGAGGTACAAATTGGGGTATGAAGTGACCTTTCTTACTGGGTAGCCATGATACAGCGGGTTTTTTCAGACCGTCCTTCAGGCGGAACAAGTTGCTTGGGAGGGTTTTTTTTGCGACAGTAACAGGTGTTTTTTCAAACAGTAGCAACCTTACGAGAAAGTCTCGGGGTTTTTTGCGACAGTCTCCAGGGAGAAGGGTTTTTCTCAACGCGAGGGTTTTTTGCGACGGTGTCCCGCGACGAGGGTTTTTTGCGATGGTTCAACGGGTTTTTTTTGCGACAGTTCAGGAGGGTGAAGAAGAGGAGTGGGTGGTATAGTGTGCACCGTACTGGTAGTGGTGCAACATTGTCGGTAGTGGCCGTGGTATAGACAGTGGCCGTAGTGGGCGTAGTGGTAATGGTAGCAAACGTGCGTAGTGGCAGTGGTCGCAAAGGTGCAACATGATCGGTAGTAGCCGGGTAAGGATAGATGGTGGGTGGCAGACAGTGAGTAGCATCAGTGGCGCAGAATAGGGGGAGGAGGAGGCGGAGGAGGAGGAGGTGGAGGAGGAGGAGTCATCGAGGCGGTTGGCGCGAGCACGAGGAACGAGTGAGAGCGACGAGGGCCGCCGACGACGACTCCGAAGACGACGACGACGACGACGCCGACGACGACGACGACTACGACGACGACGCCGCCGCCGCCGACGAGCTGCGCTCGTGTGCTTTGATGGTGCTTTTGTTGCCTCCTTGTGTGATATTGTGGAAGAGGTGGTGTTGCGCAGCTGCGCGTGGCGGTGCGGGAGGGGGGTGCAGGGGGGAGGGCGCAGCGTCTCCTGTCGCAGGGCGTTCCATATTTCCACGAACGAATGTTGATGTTGGTTGACGGCGTTTGATGTATATATAGAGCGTTGTACAATCTAGCCGCGACAGTTCAGGAGGGTGACGAAAAGGAGTGACTGGTAGTGTGCACCGTAGTGGTAGTGGTAGTGGTGCAACATTGTCGGTAGTGGCTGTGGTATATAGACAGTGGCCGTAGTGGGCGTAGTGGTAACGGCAGCAAACGTGCGTAGTGGTAGTGGTCGCAAAGGTGCAACATGATCGGTAGTAACCGGTAAGGGTAGATAGTGGGTGGCAGACAGTGAGTAGCATCAGTGGCGCAGAATAGGGGGAGGGACGACGCCGCCGAGCTGAGGTTGTGTTCTTTGATGGTGCCCGCCTTGCCGTGGCAGAGAAGCTCAGTACCACCTCGAGTGGGAAGCCAAGAGGCGCTCATAGACCTTGACTTGTTTGTGTGCTGTTGTGGAAGAGATGGTGTTGCGGATGTTGTGCACGAGGTGTGGTGTTGCGCAGCTGCGCGTGGTGCTGCGTCTAAACTAGTTGCGGCGGGTCGAGATGGCAAAAAAAGGTGCGCCTCCTTTCGCAGAGCCAGGTACTAGTTCTACCAGCTGGTAGTAGTAGTAGTAGTAGTAGAAGTAGTAGTAGAAGTAGAAGTAGAAGTAGAAGAAGAAGAAGTAGTAGTAGTAGTAGTGGTAGTAGTAGTAGTTGTTGTTGTTGTAGTAGTGGTAGTAGTAGTAGTAGCCGTCGTTGTCGCAATGCCTGTCTCTCCGCTGCCCGTCGCAAAAAAAACCCTCCACCGACGCAAAAAAACCCATTTCCCGTCGCAAAAAACCCTCACTATTGGTTCACCGTCGCAAAAAACCTCCCTAGCCGTCGCAAAAAAAACCCTCTGAACCGTCGCAATAAACCCTCTGGAGTTCCCCGTCGCAAAAAAAAACCTCTAGCATCGCACCGTTGCAAAAAAACCCTGTTACCGTCGCAAAAAAAACGAAGCCCAAGCTGCTTGCTATCCATCCATGGGAAAGTGTGTGAAATGTTCAAATCTGGTTGGTGGTTTGGAACATGAATTTTATGACTTTCCATATATTGGGAAGAATCATCCCATCAACTGACTATCATATTTTTCAGAGGGGTTGAAACCACCAACCAGAAATCTGTTCAACCCGTTTTGAAGTTCTTAAAACATCGCAAAAGGTCACCCCCCATATCTAAGCTAGACCCCCGAAGCAATCATCAACAGCTACTGCTCATGGAGATTGATCAAAATGGGACCGCACCTCATGTTTGGCAAGGTTTCGGCCAGCATTGGTGGAGAGGCGGAAACCAGATCCAACAGCCTCTTCAAACCAACGGAGGCAAAGGTCGTCCATATGGGCAAGGGCAAGGTGAACCACAACTCCCACGCTTGCTGGGACAGGGAGACGCCACTGTCCATGAAGTGCGCCGGAGATTTGACCTCAATCTGCCTGAGAAATGCTGCATTGGCTGTGGAAGTACCTTCTGCGATCCCTGGTGAAGTGTACCACGCTGGTCGGGACTTGGCGAGTCCATCCGCGAAGGACTGTGGTCATTCGTTCTGAATGGATGTGGGTTTCAATTTTGGGGTCCCCAAATCCATTCGGATCTCCGAGCTGTTGCCCACCTTTGGTTGCTTAAATCCAACCTCTTTGCTTAGAGAAATTCCCGTGTCTATCAAAAACGATGACTCTCCCCGATTTCTACTGCAAGTATCCAAAAATGTTGGTGAATATCCCCAACATATTTACCAATGAAAGATGATGTATATCCAAAACTCTTGGCTCAAAATCCCCCATTTTTTCTGACGGTCGACTCCAGACGTCCATCATCCCCCCATGAACCCACAAGTTTCGTAGTCCAAAATTCCTGCTGATAGAAACCATTCAAATATCCTTACCCTCTTATTTTCTTGGTGAACCACCAAAACTTCACTTGTTGAATCCTAAATTCCACTGAAAACATGGTGAAACTCCGAATTTCACGGCAAAACTCAGCATTTTCCTTGGCCGAGCAACAAAACGACGGCCGTGTTTCTGCGGCAGGGGGCTGGATGCGCCAGAGCATTCGGAGGAGCGGCGAAAAGCGGAGGAGACGCTGAAGGCGCGGAAAAGGATGGGCGGTGAAGAAATTTCTTGGAACATCCATGGGAAAATGGTGATTTCATGGGATTTACCCTCTGGTAAACATACAAAATGGGCATGTATAGTGGATTTTCCCATAAAAACTGGTGTTTTTCCATAGCCTTTTCTATGCTTACCAGAGAGGATTCCAGTTTCTGGTGGTCGTGAAACCATTGATATACCATAAATCCATGATATTCTGGCTGGTGCTTTGGAACCATGGAATTTCATGACTTTCTATATCTTGGGAATGTCAAAATCCCAACTGACGAACTCATATTTTTCAGAGGGGTTTAAACCACCAACCAGTATTAATAGTAGTAATCGTAGTAATGTGTAGTCATAATCTCTGTAATCATCATTTAGGTTCTAGATGATTATAGTTGCGTAAAGTAATTATACGATAATAATAGATAATAGATTATAGACTAAATTTTAGATTATATAATGATAATAGATTGTAGATTTTAGATTATAGATATCGGAAGAGATCAGCCAATAGTTTTTTCCCAATGGGATAAAAAAAAACTCTTCGGAGTGGCGAGATCCAGATCATGGGTCATAATGGGATACCCAGTGATATAAGTAGCAATTTTTGCTGCACTCATAAATAATCAAGTATTTGTTTTAATGGGAATATCCCATAAGTACTGACGAAAAAATATCGCTGCTTTTCATATCAAATATTATAAATAATGGGTCAGCTGTGACACCTTGATATAGTAGCAATATTTATTAACCAGCGATTTAAGATCTGGGAAGATCCAAATAGTTATTCTTCCCAACGGGATTTTTTTAATATAGTATGATAGTCTAGGAAAGTATGCACTATGTTGGAAAATATTAATAGTATATATCATGGGAGCTATTGATATATAAGTGTAATCACTCTTGTTAGATTTGGTATGGATCAGCCACTAGCTATTTAATAACAATAATATTTTGAATAATGTGATGGGATATCTTGTTTTACACTGGTATAAATTTAATGATATATATGATATATTCTCCGTGCTTCTTGCAAACTAGATCAAACATCAAATAGCAATAGTGGAATAAACGTGGAATTGGCATCATACAACGGATACCATGCAATTGTGCTTCCAATAATGCTATGATGGCACTATTTGGTAAACCACTATGGTTTCTTTCCCATTAATCGATCATTATTGTGTATGTATATATATACACACATAGCATATAAGCAACAATCATGGTGATAGAATTGAGATATAATGGTTTTTTTTAACCAGATATACCCAGTGATATGTGAATAATGATTTAAACATCCAAAATGGTGGTACACTGGGGATATAAAGGGGTATGGTAAGACTAACAGCGCCATGGGCTTATTTTGTTGGGGGGATTACAAATTTAATAATAGGCTTTCAATATGGTCGTATCAAAGCCAAATAGATTAGTCTACCTGTATTTCCTGATATTCCCAGCGATTGGATTATAATCCCCTATTTCCCGACATTCGCAAGGGATAGTGCCAATAGTGCCCAAGTATGTGTACTACATTTACTTTAGAAGAATGATAGGATGTAGTTGATTAATGGGCGATATTCTATCAAATAGATGTCAGGAAAAATATACCATCAATAGGTGTTCAATGCTTTTATGTCTCTCATTGGAAGTGGCTGCGTTCAGCCCTGAGGGAACATCATGATATTTACATTGGGAAAATTTACCTAACAATGATATTACATTGGAACTTTGCATATTTACATTATGATATTTACATTGGAAACTTTACATATTAGTCCATTGTTAGTTCATGATATTCATTCATTTTCACTAACCATGGACTAACCACCCTTCTTTATAGCTAAATGAGAGAACTACAAGGTCCATGGCTTCGCTATGTGAGTTTACCAGAGGCTGCAATGAAAATCGCGCAACTAGTGAGTGGGAAGAACATCGATTTAACCATCTGCAGGGGGTTTAAACAAGTTTAAACCATCAAAATATAGGGATCGAGCCCTGGTGCTGATTATAGTCAGATTTGAATGGGAATGTTCACCGATGCGAATCTAAGGGGGTCATGTGATTGATACAACAAATTGGTGATTGTGTGATCATTATAAAAGGCGAGTTCACCTAAAAATCGTTGGGTGTTGGAGCATCAAAACTATGGGGATGGGATCAATTTGTTGCTCGAATGGTGGCTGATCATTGGTGGGTTGATCGTGATTTAACCATGATTCCATTGGGGGTTTTCTAATGTCAAATATATGGGATATCGTTGACAGAATGATGGTTGGTTCATGATATTTTTTTTGGGTTTATACGATCCCTGACATATTGAACATTGCTTGGTATTAGGGCATCATATGCTATCCTTGGTGCTAGATTAACATGGTATTTGGGTGGTCATCCTTGTTATATCCTTGGTGCTTGACATATTCGTTGTCAAAACCAAACTGCGAATTACCTTCACACACTAGGACATGAATCTAGGATGAAAAGCAGGAAATAACTTTTAAAAAAACTTACAGTAGTATATGAATAGTATATGATGATATGGGTGTGTTTGAAAATGGAGACTCCCAAAATGGCATTTCTATAGGGAAAATCCATGATAAACCGATAAAATTTATCCACCCAATTCTTTCGACCAAATGAACGGCACCCCCCGATGACGAAACAGCGCAGGAACACATCCGGAATTTGTCCAGTGAGCAGCTGAAAGAGTCAGGATCTCAGGCAGTTCAAGATCTGGGAACGGTGGTTTGGAACATGAATTTTATGACTTTCCCTAAGAGGTGCCCCCGGGACCAGAAACCATTAAAAACACCTATGGTTGTGGTAAATATATCTGGTGGTTTGGAACCATGGAATTTGATTGGAGTTTCCATAAAAAGTTGGGAATTTCATCATCCCAACTGACGAACTCCATCATTTTTCAGAAGGGTAGGGCTCAACCACCAAGCAGAATATAGATGTGTCACTGGGGCACATCCCACAAGCGATGATTGATAAACCACTGGTGCCATCCACTGGGGTTTTTCAGCCCTCTAAATTGGGAACATGATAATGATTAGTTTGGTGTTTAGATGGTTCATTAGAACTCCAATACCAAATAATAATTAAATAATAACACACTAAACTGGGAACATTATCGAAGGAAGTTTAGAAGTCAAACTTCCGACAATATGGACAGATGAAAAGCAGAGAAGGGAAGAGGCAGAGAGAAGAGAAAGATTAGAAGAAAGAAGAGTAGAAGAGAAAGAGTAAGAAGAAAGAAGATGCAGATGCGAGAAAAGGTAGAAAAGTCGCGAAACACTGTGTTTTTCCAATGATTTGGGGCTCCGGAGGGTCGAAAAGTAGGCTCGCTAAAGCGGCGGGTGCTGAGCCAGCTGGCCAGATGAGAGATGAAAAATTGCACGCAGTTGTGGCGCGAAGCACATTTGCAAGTCAAAATGTACAAAACACCTGGGTCTCGGACCACTTTTGGAAGTTGAGATGTCAAAAAAGTGCACGCCGTTGTGGCGCGAAGCACATTTCGAAGTGAAAATGTACAAAACACACCAGCTTCGGACCACTTTTGGCAGTTGAGATGTCGAAAAATTGCACGCCGTTGTGGCGCCAAGCACATTTCGAAGTCAAAATGTACAAAACACACCAGGTCCGGACCACTTTTGGAAGTTGCGATGTCGAAAAAGTGTACGCCGTTGTTGCGCGAAGCACATCTCCAAGTCAAAATTTTCAAACTACATGTACGCGCCACTTTTGGAAGTTCAGATGTCGAAAAAGTGCACGCCGTTTTGGCGCGAAGCACATTTCGAAGTCAAAATGTACAAAACACCAGGGTTTCGGACCACTTTTGGAGGTTCAGATGTCGCTTCGCTTCATTACACTACATTACACTCATTACACTACACTACACTCCACTACACTGCACTACACTACACTACATTACACAACACTACCACTACAACTACACAACTACACTCCACTTCACTACATTACACTACACTACACTCCACAACACTACAACTACAACTACACAACTACACTCCACTACACTCCACTACACTAAATTGCACTACACTACATTACACTACACTACATTACACTACACTACACTACATTACACTACGCTACACTCCACTATGCTACAACTACAACTACACAACTACACTCCACTACACTACATTACACTACACTACACTACATTACACTACACTCCACTACACTACACTACATTACACTACACTACACTACCTTCCACTACACTTCACTACATTACACTACACTGCATTACACTGAATGACACTGCACCACAGATAGACAGGTAGACAGATAGACAGATAGACAGATAGACAGATAGATAGATAGATACATAGATACATAGATAGGTAGGTAGGTAGGTAGATAGTCAGAGAAAGAGAGAGAGAGAGAGAGAGAGAGAGGAGACCTCAAGCACCTTTCGGTCCATCAGTGGCTTCGCTCTGCCATCCCTGATTCACAACAACCAAGCTCTCCTATAGGTTTCCTATTTTTGAAACTTCCGCCACCGCCTTGTGCGGTACTACTGGTAATGGTTCAATTGTAGTGATTCATTATATATAATGCCATCCAGACTAAATTGATTCCATTAGTTTGGTGTTTCCAATCTGCTTCCATTCACAGCGGTTAAGATTGCTAAACGTTGATCTCCGCGCGTAGTTCCAGGACGCCTGCGGCCTGCGGAAAATTATGATAAACCATACAAGATGGGGCCCCCAAGATGGGGCACAAGTGGCTGAGTTCTATGGTTCATGGTAGATATACCCTTTGGTAAAATTAACATAGACCCTGAAAATCACCAATTGTTAGAGGAAAATAATCTTCCAACCCTTATCTACCAGGGTCTATGTTAATTTACTGGAGGGTAACTATAGTCAATGGTGCTTATTTCATGGTTTATAAACCAACATTCACATAACTGTGGGGTTCCCATCATGGATTGATGCAGGGTTCAGCAAAATCTCGTTGGAGCAGTTGGAGCAGATCGTTTGGTCCGAAACGAAAACCAGGTGATCGTTTGGTACCCGGCCTGGTAAACATACCATAGAAGCTATGGAAAATGGTGATTTATGGTGATTTAATGGTGATTTAATGCTGATTTAATGGGATGTAATGGGATTTACCCTCTGGTAAACTAACATAGCTATTGAAAATGGCCATTGAAATAGTGGATTTACCCATTAATAGCATGGTGGATCTTTCCAGTTCGTTATGTGACAGTTTACCAGAGGGTAAATGTCTTCATTTGAGGTCCGTTATTCAGGTTTGTTCCTTTTTGGGAGGTCAATGGCAGCCGCTTTTGGGGGTTTCGGCATCATTTCACCTCTAAAACTCGACCCTGGCTTCGTGGCTGTCCCTGAGGTTGGAGCGTTGCCCATGTATTGCTGGAGGATTCCCCATATTCTTGCAAAATGGAAGTGTCATCAACAGGGCAGTTTTCTTTGGGTAATTCCCTTCATGTTCATGTTGTTGTTAATGTTGATGCTACCCTCTGGCAAAGTACCATAGCTATGGCCATGGCCTATGATTTTAGTTAATTTACCTATGATTTCAGTTGATTTTCCAATTCGCAAACTGTTCGTTATTGAGGTTGATGGCGCTGGCGGAGAATGGGACCGAAGCTGACACTTGCTTTGGAAAAGGTCAGCAACAGCGAAACATGTGGGGCATAACAAGCCAAAAAGTACGGATAATATGCTTAAACAACCTATCGATATATGGTATAACCCATCTACTGGCATTGAATCCCCATGTTGGGAAATGCGGAGGTTTCCTAAGTCACTGGGGTACCCCGAAAATCGTCCCAATTTTTTCGACCTTGACGTGGTATTGAAACGCATGGTGATTTGGAGATCCATTTTAAGAAGCCCCTGCGTTGATATCACTAAGCAACTTTGGGAGATTGTTTTTGTATTTCAGCAACCAGTTTACTGAGTCAAGTCATGGAGTATTTCGCACCTCTCCAAAATTTGAGTATCATCATGATTAATAGTACTGTATTTAAAAAAAAAAAAGAAAAAACACTGTAAGATCCGGGGGGCTTGTTCAGAATGTAGCAACAAATGTAGATGCTGAACAAGCCCAAAAGGATGTATCCTATGAGGACATCATTGTACCATAAGGATATGCAGAAATTCTGTTGGAACCTGTATGGCTTTGTCAGTTTTTCTTTTGATGGGCCTACACATCAGAGTTTCAGACACAAGCCCAAAAAAACATACATACTCTATACTGATGGCTACATATATGGGTAAACTACAATGACCTCACTGTTCTCCGGAAGCCTGGAATCATGGTTTATATAAGGGAAATCATCCCCAAATGGCCGAACTATATTCAGACTAGTGAAATGTCATAATTTACCCATATATATATAATATGTGTGTATGCGTATGTCTATATACACATATTCCCATGATATCGCAATAATATCCCATGAAATCACGAATTATATCCCCATTGTCTTCCATATATTAGCACACCGTGACATCTAAGATCTAACTAATACTAGGTATTTGAACAGCTTCTGAGTGAAATAGCTCGGGGCGACGGTGATTCATATCCCAGAAGTACCTGAAGGGAAAGTTGCAGGAAACCACTAGTCAATAGACAAAAACGAACAAGAACTCTGAACTCAAAGACTTCAAAATCTCTAGCCCTATTCGAGAATCCATAAAAATAAGAGAATACATTATCAAAAATCATGACCTTTCCACCCCAACAAAATGGAGCCCCCTATCCCGCGCTACTCTCAACATCTATGACTTGTCAATCTCCACAGGGGTTGGTGGTGACCCAAGATAGCGTTCAGTTGGTGGTCACATAACTTCAATAACTACCCGGCCTGGTAAACATACAACAAGCTATTGAATAGCTGGCCCCAGTCGAAATAGTGGATTTACCCATTGATAGCATGGTGGATCTTTCCATAGTCACGTGAAAGTGTACCAGAGGGTATGGTTTATAGATGTTTATAGGTGATATATTGATATATCATGATATATCTACAGTACTCCATGGAGTTTTTTATCCCCATACTTGGAGTAATCCATGATTTGGAGTACACATGGATTATATATGGACTACAATCCCCATTATATAACTATAGACCATAGATATATCATAATATATCATAGTTATCTATCTAGCTATCTATGATAATAAACTATGATATAACTATAGATATATCCTATGGTCTATAGTTATAGAATGGTCTATATAGGTTTCACATGATAGTAACTATAGATATATCATAGTTAACTATCTACCAATATCTACCATAAACCATAGTTATCTATCTAGTTGCTAGCCAGCTATCAAGGCTGCCCCCAAATACACAAAAAAACAAATTTTGGGGGCTTCACACATGCAAGGGGTACTTGGGCACAAACCCACTGTATCCGAGACGCTTTAAGACTGTCGCTTCGAAGTAGCCATAAGCTTCTGCCAATGCAGCCGTGACGACTGGAACAGTGAGGGCTTGCCCCAAACTTTTTGGCACGGGAAGCAGCGTGACCAGCCAATTGTATGGAGAATACATAGGCTTTACTGGGATACAAGATGATACAACAAACAATCTATGTTTATCAATATAATATTTATTTATATATTATGAAAATCTAGGGGAAACCGACAAATTTGGATGGCTGATCATCATTTTCCCTGATGGCTACACCATGCTACACCGATAATCAACTCAAGGCTGGAGCGTGAAATCCCTGATGTAGGCACAAAGATCATTCCTGAATTACATCATCGCTATGCAGTCTGATAATCTCAATTCAGCCTGCAGTCGCTGACTTTTCCCTTCCGATATTTGTTTCGTCCTGATCTTTCGTAGCCTAAATACCTGTGTTTGTAGATTCACAGTCTCGTTTTCATGCTTAGAATCACTGAGATTGTGTAAAGGAGCAGTTATCGACCTGAAACCATATATTTTTTCCTGTGAAGCGGGTGCTTCCTTGAATTTGCTCAGTTTTTTTTGACGGACTTTACGGTACATGTGGCTTGTAGCCACCCAAGCTTTAGATATATCCGCCATAAACCATAGTTAAGCGAGTTATAAACCAACTTAGCTATGTATAATGCACCACATTTCATACTGTGGTTGCATATCCCAATATATCTTAGTTATACCCTGTTGGCAGTTCCCATCTATTGGCTGTTGTGGCTCCCAATTCATCCCATGGCTGATCCCGGTTCAGATTTCGCCGCCAACCCTTGCTACGCATTGGGGAAAAAAACTTAGAGAAAAGGTGGAGGATGCATCATACATGGTTTCACCAATTTATATCCATTGATGGTTTCCTAAGTCATAGGGGTACTCCAATAGCTGGATGGATTTGGGGATACCCATCATCCTGAAGTAGAATATGGGATGCTCAAAGAGATTCCCATTTTTGTGATGGTTTTTTGTCATTTCCATTATTCATGATATAACTTCAAGGATCACTATAATTATTATTTAATTATATAGAATAGAAGTTTCATGATTTTATTTTTGAAGTTACTCCAGGATGACTATATGAGGGTTTCCATAAATAGGGCTACCCCAATAGCTGGATGGTTTATGAAACCCTCATATATATGTATATATATAATATATATTGGTTGGTGGTTTGGAACATGAGTTTTATTTTTCCATATATTGGGAATAACCATCCCAACTGACGAACTCATATTTTTCAGAGGGGTTCAAGCCAGCAACCAATATATATTTATATATACATATATATATATATTTATTTTTTTATTTTTTTATTTATTTATACATACATATATATATATATGTATACATATACATATATATATCAATGCTGAAGCCAAGGTGATCCCATTTTCACCACTTTTCATCGACTCAAGTCTCAGGATTTCCGCGCGAAGCAGGACGCGCTCAGAGAGGAGTTGCGGCAGAAGGGCGAAGCGCGCGAGGCGCTGAAGCCGCGCGAGGCGCTGAAGCCGCGCGAGGCGCTCAAGCCGCGCGAGGCGGTCAAGCCGCGCGAGGCGCTTAAGCCACGTCAGGCCCGTTGACGAAATCGCTAGGGAAACCGTGGGAACAAGCTTGGGAAAGCTGGAGAAGTGTGGGATTTTCATGGTGATTAAACTTTATAAAATGGATTTCATGGACATATCCTGGGAATATGTGATTTAACCAAGAAAAATGTTGGATTCATGGACACATAATGGGTATAGTGTTGCACGGCAGGAATGGAAGAATGTAATAGGACCAATTTGTTGGAGAATTATGAGAAATTAGTATATGTGGGATATATAGCCAACTTAATATGATACACGGTGATGCACCCAGACGATAGCTAGGTTGAGGCACATAACTTGGTTAGCTAGGCTTTCTAGGGTATATATCATAGAATTGGATGATGGGAAAATTTACAGGAAAACCCTATATTTGGTAAAAACCATGGTTTCCTGTGATTTTCCCTTAAACCAATCCAATGAATATAACGGACTAGTATTCATGGGTTTCTAGACCAGCTTATAACTGGGCCATACCTTGGAAATGTCGTAAACCTGTTGTTATTTTAACCATCCCATTCACCATTTGGGGGTTATTTTAATATGTTACATCATCCCGAAAAGGGGTAAACCTCTATACAATCTGGTAAACTAACAGTTTGCTATTGAAAATTGCCATTTTTCAATAGTGGATTTACCCATTAATAGCATGGTGGATCTTTCCATGGCCATGTTAGTCATAACCAGATGGTATATCTTGGGGCGATTGATGTTCATCCCCTGGAATTTGTGTTCAAAGCTGGTTGGTGGTGACTGGAACCATGGCTATAATAATGGTGTTTTTAATGGGATATAATGGGATATAATAATCAATAATGGAACCATGGAATCTGATTAGACTTTCCATAAAAAGTTGGGAATATATCATCATCCCAACTGTTACTCCATCATTTTTCAGAGGGGTAGGCGAAAAACCACCCACCAGAAAATGTTTCAGCGGCGCATTTGAGGTTTGTCCAAACATGGGAGGTTGCCCAGCAATGGGATTTTTTCAGCATTAACATATGGCAATTTCAATGGGTAAAATGATGATCAATCACAAGATTTTGGGGTACCAGATGTTCAGACAAACCCTTACTTTCATTTTTGGCCACAAATTGAAGAAGATGCCACCCAGAAAAAAATGTTTTATATGGTATTCAAGCCTGGTCGATCTTTTGGCAAATGTGATAAACCCAGAGATTAGATGATTAGATATCCCCAATCCTCGTACTGCTACTATGCCGCCGGGGTTTGATTTGAAAACATACCAAAGCCACTTCTTTGGTGCATGGGATTTTCCGCATTGGGTGTATTTCTTCCACACATGAAGGATTCTGACTGGTGTATGTTTCAAGCATGGAATACGAAAAAGACAGCTTCAGACCTATTTATGATTTGATCTGGGCAAATTTCATCACGACCGAACCCTGTTCTCCCGAACCCTGGGAATTTTTAGGTGAGGATTCGGGAAATCTTTTTCAAAGGGCCTTAATTCAGGTTAGTGAAATATTAACATTTACAGAAGAACAAGGCTTGGCTGCTCAGGAAGATCGAGACCGGGATCAGCACGGTGTTCACCGTAGGAACCAGCAACCTCGCCCTGAGCGTCCACCAAGTTCTGGACCAAAGGAACCTCCTGGGCCGCCAGATCGCCCTAAGGAGACAAGCTCGGTGGTGTGGCTTCGATCCGTGAAGTGCGAACTGGGTCATTGGGCACTGTGGTAGCTTCATGGACATCCACGTCCGACAGAAATTCATCAACAAACTTGAAGAAGATCGCAATCTGTCCCGTAAGATGTTGAGAAGATTCGTCCGACTTGCACGCGCAGTGGCACGGTCAGGTGGCAGGGTGACTTTTGAGTGGCCCAGGTATTGCTCAGGATGGAGCCTCAAGGAGCTTGTATTGGTGAGAGACCAACTTGACCCAGATTTGATGTACTTAGCACCTGGGATGCTAGAAAACCATAGAAAACCTATAAATCATGGGATGTTTACCACCTATTACCTGGTGGTTCGGATTTCTTAACCATCCATTTGATGTATGGTCCAAAAATTTTGAGCCAACGTGTCGCCATTGGATCATTCTTGGCGCCTCCTCGTCAAGAATCAATTGGGTGATGACATTTACAGGGTGGTTTTATCAAAAATCCGGAAAATATCGTGGGGATCGTGGGGATTAAGGATAGTATAAAACTTTTTTGGGGTTTGGAACCAGGGATTTTTATGACTTTCCATTCAGTTGGGAATAATCCTTCACATTGACGAACTCATATTTTTCAGAGGGGTGGCTTAACCACCAACCAGAAAAGGATTGATATGTTATAATGAAATCCGTATGATCGTATGATCCACTTTTACATTATATCCTCATTAATGTCAACCCTGGATTTATAAACCCTGGCCGATGAATTTGGCGGAGTCCCCTAAATGATGACATGACTCTTAATTGGTACCCCAATTACACAGCGGGGTTTATGAATCCAGGGGTGACTACATCCTTAGCATTTGATCCATGAACTGGCTCCTCCAGGCTCCCCCTTTTCGCCACGCTGCAGGACCCCAACGTCACGGATGACAAGGGCGAGACTCCTCTCTTTAAGGCCAAAGTAAAAAGAAGTGGTGTTGTTTTAATATGATTGTAAAAGCCATTTGATGATGATGTACTGTGATTTAATGATGATTCTAATGGCTCTTCATGGGATACAAGTGGGATACAAGCGGGATATCAGTGATACAACTAAGAATGTGATTCCCCGGTTTGTTTGGAAATGTGGCAGACCCCCCAATTTATAACCAATTTTGCTAGGGAAAATCTTGATGGCTCTTACCCGTGGGGTTAGGGGGTACCCATTTTTATCCGTCATACCCATCTGGAGAATCACCAAGTGAGTTGATGATTTTCCCCGGCAAAAATGGGGATTAGCCTCTGGTAAACATACAAAAAACTATGGAAAATCACCATTGTTCATGGGAAAATCCACTATAAACTGCAATTTTCAATAGCTTTTTGTATGTTTACCAGAGGGTTACCCTCTGGTAAATTTTGGACATCGACCCTGAAGATGTTCAATGATGTTTCGTGGAAACATTCATCTTCCAACCCAGTTATCATGGCAGGGTCGAACTGTTTATCTACTGGTAAACTAACAGTTCAGTATGGAAAGATCCACCATGTTTCATGGGAAAATTCACTATTTCTATGGTGATTTTCCATAGTTATGTAACAAATTGCCAGAGGGTAACCTACTGGGCAGCTGGTGATGATCCAGTTGTGAAGTGATGACAATCACATTAATCAAGGTGAAGTCGGAAGTCAGTGTTTACCACGCTTGGTTGGTGATATGATTAGTTGGGGGATGATTTTTTTGCAGTAGCTATAGGCTTCAAGCAATCAACGATATGGGGATTTAAAGGGATATCATTGGTAAATGATAGTTGATTGATGATTAGTTGGGGAATTATACTATCTAACCTGATTGGTGGTTTGGAACATTTTTCCATATATTGGGAATAATCATCCCAACTGACTTTCATATTTCTCAGAGGGGTGGCTCAACCACCAACCAGTAACATATACTCACCAATTCAATGGCTAATATATAGTAATATCTCAATCCATGGGGAATCCCGTTCTCAAGCAGAAAATCTCTCTTGAGACGACGTTTTTTTTTTACTACAGGTCGCGACGTCAATGTGACAAGATAGGCTGGAATTTTCCAAATGTCAATTGTATATGCTTAAACAACCTATTTATATGTGGTATAACCCATCTATATAATTCTATATAATGTCATGGAATCCCCATGTTGGATTTTTTTAAGCTTTCCGCTTTGTCATGGGGGTACCACATCATCCAAGTCATGGATCCACAGAGCCATGGCGCCGGCGAAGTACAGCCTCGGCCTTGGGCTACCTCGACACCACGGAACTCTTGAGATGATCTCCAGTGCGCCAGATGATGTCCTCCTTATCAGGGCACCATCCTAGCGCTGATCAGGCTGAGGTTATCAATGGATAATAACCATAGTAAGTTGGGGGCCCATTTTGTTCAACTTCTGGGGGTTAAAATCTCATGATTATAACATGTTATAACCCGTACTAACCCCAACAACTGCAGCCCCCCACAAAAAAAAAAACACACACACACACATTGGTTTGTTCATAATATTTCCCGCACAAGGCCTGCTTTGGACACGCTCATTGAAAAAATGTGCATGGGTCAAAATGAACTGTCCAAAGGGCTTGTTCAATGCTAAGAATCCCCGAATTGAGTAGTTCTTGCTAAGAATCCACAGAAATCACCCTTTTTTGGGGTGCTTAAAGCAGGATTTCCTGCTCCAAATGTACGACACCAGGTACCCCCAAGCACTTGGCTGATCAATGCTCCAAGTCGGTGTATCCAACGAATCCCATGTTTGGATATCTCTTTCTGTCCATATACTTGGAAAAAATGGCAAATGTGCCATGGTCAAAAGCTCTTTTTCCGGGGATGGTCATCAATTCAGCTTGTTGCGCCACCAGATCAGCATTATATCCATATTAGAGTTGATGAAACTAATATTTTAAATATAATATTTCCATATTGTATCCGTTTATATCCATATATTATATCCATTTTATAAATCCCCGTTTGCAGTCTCCAATTTAGCTGCGGTAAAGCCATAAACCATCCCCAAAATCTCAACATATCAATGTGTGCTAACGATCATCCCCGACTGGTTTCCCTTAAATCCACCATGAAATTACCAGTATATCAGCATGATACCCCCATTAAACCACCTTAAAATCCCCATTCATGCTGGCGTTTTTCCCATGGTTAATCCACATGAAATCAAGTTCAATCCCATTCAATATTTTCAGACAGTCTTAAGTGGGCTAAATCATATATTCCAGTCATATATTTCAGTCATATTATCCATTTTATCTAGGGTCCCATGTGTGGCACATGAAGATTCACCAATTCCAGTCATAATTACAGTCAAAAAATACCATTGAAATTTAGATCTTCCATAGATAATCCCATAGATATTCCATAGTAATAACCATATATATATATTCCATGAGGATCCTCTTAACTTGGTTAAATCATATATTCCAAACATATTCCATAGATCCTCCCATTGGTTCATCCACATCTTTCGCGAACCGCGAGTTCGGAGGCCTGTGAAGGCGGCCATCTGGAAATCGTGAAGATGTTATTGAAAGCCAAGGTGGGACAGCCAAGAAGAATATGGTTATGTATATATATATATATACACATTGATTACATATGTATATATATATATATATGTATTGGTATATAATGACAATAATTATACTAATGATCATAATCATGATCATCATCATAACACAGTAGCAATGATGATGATAATATCGCGGACGGCTTCTGGGCTGCTGGCACGGCAAAGGTGCAGTGCTGTAATAATACAAATAGTAATGATAATGGGGGTGTATTATGTATGTATATATATACATATATATATATATATACGTATGTTAATCATATAACATATGTGTATGTACTAATAATAATGACAATGGGTTTATAATACATATGTTAACCATACACAATATGAATATATATATAATTATATATAATTATATATATTGTAACGGGCTATGATATGGTACTATAATGATGGTATACTATCATACACAACTATATATTGTCTATATATAATATAACCAATAGATACACTATATGGGCCTACATACCCCATTGTTGGTTATTTTGCACTATTTATTTATAGCAACAGGATTTTACTAACAAAAATGGTGCTGGCATAGGGATATAATGGTGCAAAACCGGATACAATAGGGAAAGAACGGAAAATTCATGGAATATGGATGTTATTTGCAGTGGTGCCCCCTCCAGTGATGTGAATGTTGGTTACCCCCATGGATATCTTATAGATATATGATGATATATGTGCCCTCTGGTAAACTAACATAGCTATTGAAAATGGCCCATAGAAATAATTGATTTACCCATGAATAGCATGGTGGATCTCTCTATAGCTATGTAACAAATTACTAGAGGGTAAATAGGGTTTCATTGTCCCATTTATAGTTGATTTACCCATTAAAAATGGTGGCCTTCTAGTTCGCTATGTAACAAATTACCAGAGGGTATCATAAAGCATCGTGAAAATTGAGATATAAACTGGGGCACCACCTTTTGGGGGATTTTTTCCTGGCGATTTCTCATGGCTGAGCTCTCCTAATTTAGGATTAACCAATGTGGATTTCATGGCCGATTAAAATTCGAAGAAATGGTGGTTTAATGTGGATAGCATTCTGATATACTTTCTCAATGCGGAAACTCGTGACCATATTTTGGGGACGCACTGCTGAATGAGTTTTTGGTGATTGTGGGCACACCGGCCTACCTCAAAATCTTCGAATTTTTGAGAGAGATTGAAAGATTAATACATTAACCATTAACCTTTTTTGACCATGATTACAGTAACCAGCAATTAACCATTAATCGTTTATGGGTGCGCAATTCACAGGATGGCCATCCTCACGGTCGAAAATTGACGTGATCCCATGAAGGAACCGTCAGAACCAGATCTGTGGATCGAACCGTGCGGTCAGGGCGGTCATGTCGCCTCAGTTTGTGAACAGGTGCGACTCGTTTTACCCTCCGGTAAACTAACATAGCTATGGAAAATCACCATTTTCAATGGGTAAATCCACTATAAATCACCATTTTCAATAGCTATGTTAAATTACCAGAGGGTACTCACTTATTGCAACTCTGACCAATTCTTGTACTGAGATTTCAATTCGCCGCTGAGCCTCGCGCACGCGAAACTCGTGTGAAGATGGCCCTGGAGGTGGCCCAGCTTGGAGGTGTACCCTCTAGGAATCAAACTTTGCTTACCCTCTGGTAATTTAACATAGCTATTGAAAATGGTGATTTATAGTGGATTTACCCATTGAAAATGGTGATTTTCCATAGCTATGTTAGTTTACCGGAGGGTATTGCAACTCTGACCAATTCTTGGAGCCCAGAGACCACCAACTTTTCCGTTACCTCGGTGCAAGTCCAGTAAAAGACCTGATGTTTTTCGTCCGGTAGATCAGTTCCCCTGCAAGCTTCAAATCGCGACCTGGTGATTTCGTCGGGGAAAACAACTAATGTGCATATGATTATCCATGGGCATGGTAGAAAACAAATAGATACATTAAATAACCAATGGTAAGATGATACCCATGAAAAATCAACCAATTGGTTACCTCATAGGGGAAATAAATTTTGGTACCTATAATAATACGGAGACATGATGATATTGTGGTGTGATGGGGATAATTCATGAGAATCTAATGGTGATTTTTCAGTGCAACGCGGGATTTCATGGCGATCTGATGGGATTTAATGGAGGATTTATGGCTGTGTCTGATGGCTTATGCAGCCAATGTATGATGGGGATATCGGGATATATAATTTGGGGAATATATAATTTATATAATGTAATGAAAAAAAACTTCTTGGGATACATACGCAACATTGTATGGGATACAACGAACCTTGCATGGAGATCTTTGACAACAAGGGATATTCATTTCCTGGTGCTAAACGCAGGGAATTTTCGGGGATGATCCCAGCCATCACTAGTAAAAATCATCCCAGCAACCCCCAGCAACCCATCCATTCCCTACGTTTAGCACCAGTAAGTATATCAACACAGAAACTTTGAGAGTCGAAGCAAAGACTTTAGCCATCATACTTTCAGAGACGTTCAGGTAAGACCCCCATTGGTTAATCCCCGGGGCGGTAACGGGGTACTTTTCTATACTTTTCTGGGTATACCCTCTGGTTATGTCAAAATTGCTATTGAAAATCCATAGAAACAGTTGATGTTCCCATTAAAAATTGTGATTTTCCATAGTTTTTTGTATGTTTACCAGAGGGTAACGATAGTTATAAAATAGTTAAAATAGTTATAAAGCCCTATGAGTTGGGACGGAAAAAAAACATGGTGAAATCTATCCATGGAACTTCCAAGCGCCTGCGTTCATCCAAAGTCCCACTGATGACATCAACGTGCAGGCGACCTTGTCTTGCAACACCCTGGGCCAGACACCACTGCACGCGGCGGCAGAGGCAGGACATCTACAGGCGAGGCAGGATCCGGGAGGGATCTAGGAGTGGTCGTATATCCAACAATGATTAGGGAGCCAGTTGGAGCTATGACATGAATTGAGTTTCCCAACCACATGGTAGAAATGGCCTGCTTTTTGTCCGCTAGCTTCTGGTAATCTAAGAATTAAAAATTGCCTGTGAAAGTAGTTTATTGATCATCTTGAACAAGGTGATGTTCCATCGCTAATTTTGATTACCAGATGGTACATCACCTGCAAATATGGCAAATGTATCGGGATGGGTGTGGGCTCACCAATTCCTTTGTAAAACATCTGCAAATGGAGGAATCTAGCCGTGTGGGTACAAGTACCAAACCATCCAAAATATACAGACTTAGCGATTTAAACATCGGCGTTCAACCAAACTCTGGTTGGCGGTTTGGAACATGTTCTATTTTTTCATTTATTGGGGAATAATAATCCCAACATACCAATATTTTTCAGAGGGGTAGGTATACCACCAACCAGATAGAGACTTAGCGATTCCATCACTGGTGATAACCCACCAAGATTTAGGACTGATGGAAATCCTTAGCCAAGGTGACCTGAAGTGACCATGGATCCATAGTTGCGTATATATATCCCAAGCATATGCCATTCAGTCAAACTCCATGAACTTCCCATGAATTTCCTATGAAATCCGATGATATCAATCTTATTCAATTGTTTCTACCGATGACACCACCATATGATGAAATATCCCCATATTAGTTGCTGAAATCCCCATGAAATCACCAATATATCACTTTCTGATTTTTCTCATCATGTTGACTCACCATCTATTCGTTGGATCCCCCATTTCTGTGATCAGTGGCGGACCTGTTGGAAAACCGCGACGCTGAGCCATGAACAAAATGACCTGCTTGATGAATTTGTTCGGAGCTAGACTGCTTAATTTACCCTCTGGTAATCATACAAAAAACTATGGAACATCACCATTTTTAATGGGAAAATCCACTATAAATGGCCATTTTCAATAGCTATGTTTGTTTACCAGAGGGTATTGGGGGTGATAATTAATCCATAGGATTGGGAAATCGTTTTTAGCCAACTAGCAGTTCATGAGATGGGACAGGGGTATTTGTTCATGGCGCACTTAGTATGTATACAGTATAACCCCCGAACTAACCATCAACCAGCCATCGTTTCTGGATTGCATTCCTATGTTTCATTGCCATTTAAATGATAGTTAAATCCCAATTCAGAAACCAAGAGAACCCATGTGTTTGATGAATTGCCATCAAAAGCCCATCAAAAAGCCATGGAAATCCCATTCAATGACATGAAATCCAATTGAATCACATTAAAGTCAAATGAAATCCATCACATGAAATTCCATGAAATCCCACGAAAATTCCGTCAAAAAACCATTTCTTGGAGATCAACTTCTCTTCTCTAAGCCAGGTGGTGCAGTTGTTGTTGAAACATGCTGACGAAGAGTCGGCCGACAACGACGGGTGCCGCGGCTAGAGCACTGGGTGTCAAAATCTATTCTCAACATATGACTGGGGGAATAAACATCCAGCTATACTAGCTATTGTAGGATCATCCCACGAATAATAACTGGTTGGTGGTTTGGAACACTTTTTGTTTTTCCATATATAGGAATAATAATCCCGATTGACTTTCATATTTTTCAGAAGGGGTAGGTCAACCACCAACCAGATAACTGTTTTATCACATTGTAAATCACTGGTGATACCCCACCAAGATTTAGGACTGATGGAAATCCCACGAATCATAACTGCGTAAACCAGCCATTGAAATATCACCCAGCTATATCTGCCTGAAAGCACTGAATGGAGCCTTGCCGAGGACCGGACCGGGATGATCCTCCAGAGTGATAGACATGTTCTGTGGGATTTATATCTGGTTGGTGGTTTGGAACCATGGAATTTTACGACTTCCATAGCTATGTTAAATTACCAGAGGCTATGTTTATTGGTTTATAAAGCCACTGGCTGGTGGTTTCAAACATTTTTTATTTTCCATGATATATGGGATAATCCCAACCCCATTGACGAACTCCATCATTTTTCAAGATGGTTATTGCACCACCAACCAGATATGCTATTAGGGATTTCATGGGATTTACCCTCTGGTTATTTAACATAGCCATGGAAGCCATGGCCCATTTATAGATGGTTTACTGTTCTTAAAAATGGTGGATCTTTCCATGGCTACTTTAGTTATAACCAGATGGTAATGGGAATATCGTGGGACTAAAAACTAAGTCGACCTTGGATTTACATATAGGGTTTTGATGGACCTTCAAGAGATTTTTTAGTGAAACTTCATGGGCATATTTTTTTGGGATGCTATGTATTATCAGTACTAGGTCGGCTGGATGGGTACTAATCCTTGATTTTTTTGGCTAGGAATATCTAAGATTGGCAATGATGGTTCCACGGTTTCGCCACTGGAAGGGGGGGGGTTTCACCGCAAAAAAAAACGTGTTGAAAGAAGTTTCATCAGCAAAAATGATACCAAAAAGTGGAAAAGTGTTTTGTTCACTAAAAGATAGATTCTTCACCATCAATGTTCAAGATACCTGAAAAATTGTGATGGAAAACCACAACGGTGCGGAGATTCATCAACAAAGATGGTGGTCACCAAAGAAAACTTCGAATTGTTGAGGATTATGACCCATGTGGGAAACCCAATAATGAACCTACTTTTGGGGGATGGTCAGCACCCATTGGACTGGTGATTGTGGGGATGGGTCACATGACTCCAGTGGCATCTAACTTCGAACAACTCAACTGCCGTGAAAGCACAGGTCCAAGCACTCCTCACTTCACAATATAACGGGGGTAGGACTGGGCAATGTCTGCCGTTAAGAAGGTGATGTCTTATTTTGCTAGTGGAGAATCTGTCGGGCATAGGGGGGAACGGGGAATCTTTAATTATGATTGTTGGATCCCATTTTGACGGCAACCAAAGCCTGACAAAGAACACTTCCATGCAAGAAAAACCAGATTTGAAGCGACTGCCTTGATCGAATTTTGGTTTCTTCGACCCTCTGAAATTCTATGGTTTCAATCAGTATTAAGATCGTGAATTTTGGTTGGTCGGCTTTTTTTGTAATAATTAAAGGAGTCGACTACTTGAGTATATTCCCATTGTGTCACTAGATGATCATGTTGTTAAAGTGTTTGTAGTTTTTTCATGTGTTTACCCGCATATTCTGGATGGTTATCCATGATGGTTATCCAATAGGGCCTATGGGTAATACCCCAAGAGTTGAATGTGTGATCCCCCAGTGACTAGACTCATCCAGTTCTCCGTTTCTTTGGTTAGATCCCTACTCTGTTCATGGGAAAAAAACACCAATCAACTTGATGGTTTTTGAAAGATGAATGAAATGCCAAAGGAGTAAATCCCACATATCTTCGGAAGTACAACATGAAGTCCTACTAAATACAAAATATAATGCCACTAAAATCCATTAAGTCCCATAAAACCTCCATCAAATCCTCATCGAATCTCATAAATTGATGGCAAATTCCTCATGAAAATCAGGATATATCTTAGACTCCATCTCAACAGCAGATTGAACACCCACTTGGATGCAGTTCCCCACTATCTCACATCAAGTCCCAGTAAATCTCAATGAAATCCCCAATAAATCCTCAACCGTCCAGAAAATCGATGCACCCCGATGTAAATCCCAGGTAAATCCCTACAAAATCCCCATGAAATACTCATGTCGAATGGTTAAATCCCAGCAAAATCCCAGTAAAATCCTATTAAATCCCTATAAAATCACCATAAATCAATGCAAAATCCCTCCGCGATCTCCGTTCGAGGCGTACGGTCATGTTCCACGCGGCGGCCAATGGACACGCCTCCGTGGTGGCGCACTTGTTCCATGGCCAGATGTTCATGGGGAAGATTCGCATAGTCCTCGCCAGTGATTTTTGTTGGTTTATTAGTAAATGGCTATTTATTAAATATCTACTATGTGAATCTATGTGATATATGAATTGGAAAATATCATAATATGGTATATAAATGGTATATATAATGAGATATATAATGGGATATATAATGGGATGTAATGGTAAAATTAAATTAATGTGGGTAAAACAATGCCATAAACCACCCATGACTGGGAATGGTAACCATTCCACCTATTTATGGTGATTGGGGGGATAGTTTATTATTGTTTTACCCACAATTTATGACATAGTTATACATAGTTATAACATCTATTATCATAGTTAGACGTAGTAATAATGGGGTATATAACAATCATAGGTTTTTGTTCATGCGAAAAAATCTATAAATGGTGGATTAGTGGTGATTAATGGTGATTAATCATAGTTATACGTAGTAATGACAGGTTTTAATCATGAAACAGTCGTTATACCCAGTATTACTAGTAATGTACATACTATAATTATAATAGTAATGAAAGATTTTTGATGGGAAAACTATACATAGTAATAATAATATTATAATGATAGATTTTAATGGGAAAATCATCTACAAATGGTGGATTAATAATGATTAATGGTTATTAATGGTGATTGTCATATGCAACTATATGATAGTAGTGGGGTATAAATATATATAACAATAATAATAATAATGAAGATATGATCAACTATAGTGATAATAATACAATGATAACAATAACAATAAAGATTAGCACATACAATATTTGGTCACAGTAATGGTTTTCATAGGGAAGACTAGCATAGGCCCAACCAAAAAAACGGTGGGTTCCTAAGTCATGCGGATACCCCCATGCAAATTTACCCATGGAATTGAAACCCATGGTGACTTGGGGATTCCCATAGGAAATCATCAGATGTTGATATAGTGAAGATATAATCAACTACAGGATTGTAACCATATTACACCACAATTCACTTCATAATGGGGTATTTATAATGAAGATACCATCAACTATCGTTGTTGTTTCCTAATGGTATATAACTACAAGGTGAGTCCCCCGAGTTATGTCTCTTAGTTTAGAAAAACCCATGAAATACAATTATATGATATGACAATACTGTTTATGATGGAATAAGTTATCTATAATTCCTGTTTATGAAAATACTATAAGAAAGATCGAGACCTGCTTGCATTCCACTTTGCTTATCCTTTTTCGAGCTTTGACGTTGAACTTTTCTGGCACGAGCATCCAGGTATCCACCCCATGTCATCTTTTGGGCCCTTAAAAGAAAGCCCATCATATGAAAATACGGTTTATGATGGAATTGTAAAAGCACCTCACACAAAACACACATGTATGATAGTAACATTCAACAGCATTGCGGCTCAGATCTAAAAGGGTGTTGCGCTGCTAGCTTAACGGTTATTTTCCCCACTGTTGTGTAGGTTTATCAGTCTATTTGGGATAAGTAATTTTCCCTGCTGAAACCTGAAAATACAGGTTATCAGCCGTAGTCTCTAAAGCCATGGATAAGACTCACGATGCAACAGGTGGTGGTGCCCTTGTGCCTTCAACCGGAACAGTATCCGCATCAACTGGTTCTCAACAGAGCTTGCCGGCTGGGACAAACCCCACGCCCATGTCAGTGGATGAAGGTTTCTTCACACAGCCCGTGCAAGCCTATTTCCAGTTCGTGCAAAACAATCTTACCTACATCAACGAAGGTAACATTGATGCTTTCAGGCAAGAGGCAGAGGAGAGGCACACACATCTCATGGAACAAAAGGTCCAGCAACTGTACCAAGAGTTTGAGGGAATTTGCCTTAGCGAAATCGCCCATCAACGTGCAGAAGCTGATCGCAGACATGAACACCTAGTGTCAGAGTACTCAATGTCCCAAACGGCAACTGAGCATGAGGTAGCAAAACTGAGACAGGAACTTAGCGATGCAAACGCAAAGCTGAAGAACGCTGCAAATGCAGTTGCACTGGAAGCTGAACAAAGAGCCAACCAAAAGGTAGCCCATGTTACAGCCCAGTACGAACAAAGGTTTTCCGAACTCAGAGGTAGCCTCGAGGCAGACTGTAAACGAATCGTGGACGAAACAGTGGAGTATGCAAAGAATGGCATGGAAGGTTTCAAGAAGGAGGAACAAGCTGTAATCCAGGAGATTAGAGAGGAATGCAGTAGGCAGGAAAACCAAGCTGCTGAACTCAACTTCCAATTGCAGGGACAAGTGGAGGATTTGATGAAGAAGCTCAACAAGTACAGCGCCCCGGAAATCAATGTCGACAGAGCCGTCGAAGTTGATGATTCACAAGGCGGGAACAATGTCGATTTGTACATGACCCCAAAATCAGCGGTCGGTACCAAGGCTGGAGCAGAACCCATGCCAAACACTGGTATGAGCAGCTTAGCCATGGACGCCAAGGAAAGGTTGAGCAACTTGTTCTCAACAACCCCTGCCGGATCAGCAGCCCCTCCAAAACTGCCACCATTGCCAGTTCAAAGACAAAATGATGATGATGCAAACCAAGAACATAGTGTGCCCAGTCCTACAGTAATAGCAAGCGACCCTGGCAAGAAAGCTGCTGATGCAGGCTTAGGTCTTTCAGGTCAACAATTGCTAGATCTCATCACTAGACTGACTTCAAAGGATTCAGATGGTGAAAAGCCCCGAACAAAAGAGGCAGAGACTATCAAACTGAACGACATGCCTGCCCCAGAAGCGTATTGTCACTGGCGTAATCATGTCAGGGATGAAGTGAAGTCGTGCTCCGACAAACCCGATGAGGCTTGGCTTTGGCTCAATGAAGTCTTTGACAACAAAACCCCTAGGGAAAAGTTGGAGGAAAAGCTGCAGGAACCTGGGAAGTTTATCACACTTGACACCAAATTGTCGGCAGCGTTAACTCGCTCGGCCAAAGGTGATTTAGCAACAAAGATCCATAACTTCAAAGATGAGAAGTCAAAGAAAGGGATCCAAGTCAGAGGTAGGAGAGTCCTTTTGATGTTTGAAGATTACTTCAGGACGTCTGAGGAAGCTGGCAGTCTCTACCGCGTCGAGGACCTACTTGGAGTCGTTCGCACTGGAGAATCTGTGGAGGACCTTAGAAGGTTTCTGAACCGATGGGACGCCACAATTGCCGGCATGGAAACCCCGCCAGATGATTTGGTTCTCAGAGACATCTTACTCAGACAAATCCGAAAATGTCAATTGATGAAGTATGACATTGAAGCATTTGACAGAGCTCCTGAAAAGTCAGAACAAAAGTCTTATGCATTCTTGTTGAGAAACATTCGTGATCTTTTGGATAGAGAAAGACTCCGTTCAAACAGAAACAGAATCGTTGAAAAGAACAAGCAGACCGAAAAGCCTCAGCCCGCTGCACCCGCTCAGGGGGGCAAAGATCGCGGCAAAGGAAAGGGTGATCGAGGTCGATCCCGTGGTCGTAGCCAGAGTGGAAAAGGGGATAAGATATGTTACAAGTTCAGGGATGGCAAATGCGAAAAGGGTAAAGACTGTCCCTACAAGCATGTCAAAGATTCCTCAAGATCTGGTACCCCCAAAAAGAACGGTAAGGGCAAAGGCGGTAGCAGAAGTGGTTCCCCCAACAGAAAGTCGAAGGAAGAGATGGCCAAGATCCCATGCACTTACTTTCAACAGGGCAAATGTCGTCGTGGTGACAAGTGTTTTTACAAACATGAAGTTGCAGCTGCACCCACAAAGGATCCAAAACGCACCAATAGCCCTGCACCAAAGAAGAAGGCCAGTGCAAAAGCTGCGCCATGCATCACTCAAAGGTATGCATGCATAGCAAAGGGAAAAGGGTTGCCGAAAGCTACAAAGGCCATGAAAGAACAATGCCATAGAGCTGTTGTGTTTTCATCAAAAGTGGAATACATCAAAGTCCCAGCAACAGGTGAACAGAGGAAGGTAGTGCACAGACCCCGAATCTATGAGAAGACGTTCCCTGATTCGGAGTCAGTGCCAAAACCCGACAAACTCGTCGCTCACCGTGCTCAGGTTTCGGCCCGACAGTTGCAGAAACTTGTGAAGCTCTTCGGCAGTGAGACGCAGCCCAAATGCCGATTCCGATGCAATGACCCAGAAGGGGGAGTATCATGCAACCACTGTAGAGCAATGATTGGTCCCAAGAACAAAGTCAGTAACACTCATTTGCCCACTGTTGCTACACCGGCATCAAAAGATGGATGTGTTTGGTTGGTTGACACGGGCAGTGAACAGGATTTGATCAGTGAGGGTATGCTGAAGACCGCAAAGGCGACAAACCGCCGTGTCAGCGATACCCCGATCAGCCTTGCTACAGCAAACGGTTCGACACGAGCGGATGAGGTGGCCGACGTAAAGGTCGATGCCCTACATCAGCCGTTTTCACCATACATTCTTGAGGAAACTCCTGCTGTTCTTTCGGTTGGGGTCAGGTGTATGGAACAGGGTTACAGTTTTGTGTGGCCAGCTGATGGTAGGCCTTACTTCATTCGTCCGGATATGGGAGTCATTGAGCTTAACGTAGACGGCCGTGTGCCGGTTATTGATAGCTCTTGTCGTGTTTTGAACAGTGGACAGTTCAAGAAAGATTGTGATCTGTTACGTCTTTTTGCAATGGTTGCTGCAAAAGCAGAAGGTGCCGATGAAGAAGGCGTGGATGAGGGAGTAGCTCATGATAGCGAAACCGAGTACGTCAGGTCTAGAAAGGCATCTGACCTTGAGCAAGAGGCATGCAGCAAATCTCACCAGTTTTGCCATTACCCCAAGAATCCATTTTGCAAAATCTGTCAGAAGGCGCGCATGATGGCGCCACCCGCAAAGAAGAAAGGGGGACAGAAAAGGTTGGAAACCAAAAGTTTTGGGGATCGCATCGTCGCTGACCATACTGTAATCAAATCCAATGTGGAAGAAGGCGTCAAAGGTGAAACAGTGGCATTGGTGATGAAGGA